CCATTAAAAATGTTTGCTAATTGTCATTATGGCTTTGTATATGAAGTCCTGGTGTGGCACTGTGGGCTAATGCGTCAGACTGCAAAGTCATTTGAACTTCAAGGTCGGTGGTTCAAGCTTACCAGTTGCTCCTTGAAAACCCTATACAGGGTTGCTATGGGTCAGAATCGACTAGACAGCACTCAACAAAAACATTATATGTATATATATACATATACCTATGTATGTATGCTAGAGGAGAGTACAGATAACTTTAAGAACCTGAGCTTAGTGAAGGAAATCAAAATACTATTTCATAAACAAGGGGGGTGGGGAGGAATCCAAGAGCCCAAATCCTGAATAAAACTATCACTAGAAAATAATTAATTAGAAAATAAATGTAGTTTCCAAACAAACTACTCCAAGTATAATGAACTATCTTTTAGATTGTCAGGGATCATAGACTAAAAATGCTGTAAAAGGTTAGAAACTCATGAAAAATTATCAGATCATCCATATTTTAAATCTTATTATCACCATTTTACAGATAAGGAGACAAGTCCAGAGAAGCATTAACTCTAATTTTTCTACATGCGACTCCTGATCTTTGGGTAAAGAAATTCTTCAAAACACTGAAAGCAGTTGCTGTTGAGCTGATTCTGACTCATGGAAACCACACATGTGCCAGAGGAGAAGAATGGTCCATTGGGTTTGCAACAACTGATTTTGTGTAAATAGCTTTTTCCATGGTGCTTCTCAATGGACTCAAACATTTAACCTTTTCATTAACAGCTAAGTATATTAACCATTTCCACCACCCAGGGATTCCCATATCTAAAACAAAAAACAAAAAAAACACAAGTTTCCAACAAGTACATACTTTCCTGGAAATACTAATTAAAATAAATAAAATAGCTTTTCTTTCCAACTTGAAAAAAATTATGTAAAAGAACAACATTATGCATACCGGAAGTATAATTTGTTGGGACTGAGAAAGATAAAGGAAATCTATGAGTTACAAGTTATGGAGAGTATTCTGAGGACTACTTCACTGAGACTTCGCCCTGGTTATAAATCACACTGGAATACCAACATAGGACAATTCTCACTGCGAAATCTTCCAGTATGTTTCTAATAAAACTTTACTGACCCTTTTGACTAATGTTTTACCTCAGAAATTCAAAGATTGGGTGGTGGTGGTTATGTGCTGTGGAGTGGGTTCAGACTCATAGTGACCATGTATAGAGTTTCTGAAGTTGTAAATCTTTACAGGAGCAGAAAGCCTCATCTTTCTCCTGTGGAACAGCTGGTAGTTTCAAACTGATGACCTTGAAGTTTGCAGCCCCATTCATAACAGCTACGCTACCAGAACTACATTTAGGATTGTTATTGTTGTTGTTAAGTGCCGTCGAGTTGCTTCCAACCCATAGCGACCCTGTACAGGGTTTCCGAGGCTGTAAATCTTTACTGAAGCAGAATGCCTCATCTCTCTCCCTTGGAGAGGCTGATAGTTTCAAACTGCTGGCCTTAAGGTTAGCAGCCCGATTCGTAACCACTACGCTACCAGAGCTCCTTATGAACATATATGTTGTTGTTGTTGTCGTTAAGTGCCGTCGAGTCGCTTCCCTGACTAAACAGGGTTTCCAAGGCTGTAAATCCTCACAGGAGCAGAAAGCCTCATCATTCTCCCGTGGAGCAGCTGGTAGTTTCAAACTGCTGACCTTGCGGTTCACAGTCTGATTCATAACGACTACACTACCAGAGCTCCTTATGAGCTCCTTATGAACATATATGTTGTTGTTGTTGTTGTTATGTGCCATGGAGTCGGTTCCGACTCATAGCGACCCTATACAGAGTTTCCGAGGCTGTAAATCTTTACGGGAGCAAATCGCCTTATCTTTCTCCCGCGGAGCGGCTGGTAGTTTCGAACTGCTGACCTTGGGGCTCACAGCCCGATTTGTAACCACTACGCTACCAGAGCATTGTTATGTTTAAATATAGTATGTGAATTTTACATTTCACAGACATCAGCTCTTGACATAAAGTAAAAATTTATCTCTATGTTAGAGTAAAAAATCATCTGAAGCTCAGCAGTTTCATTTAAAATATTACATGTGAGTCATACTCAAACATTGTCAGGGTATACGTCAATCTGTTATTTTTATTTCATAAATATGACAAGAAAGCAGACCAGTAGTCAAAAATCAATCTTTTTTTTAAAGTCTCCACTGTATTTCTGGGCATTCTCTTAAATCTTGAAAAGCAGTCTAAATGTATTCACATTTGTTCCTATTTACTTCTGAACTATATAATACTTATTTTCACAAACTACAAGGGTAAGTCAAAAAGTATTGCTACAAAATCATAGAAACCTTTATTAAACAAAATATCCAAATATGAAGCTATTGTTTTTCAACATGTCCTCCATCTAAGTCTATACACTTCTGAAGGTGGAGTTCCCCATCTCTAACCCTTCCCTTGAAGAATTCTGAACCCTTCAAATTATACCATGTCAAATGGTAGCTTTTGCATACTCAAGGGACTTGCAGAATATTCTTTTTTAATGTTGTTTTGGGAGATAAAAGAAGTCTGAAGAGCCAAGATCAGAGCTGTAGGATGGAGGGGGAAAGGTTTCCCAATGAAATTCTCATTGAACAGCCCTTGCTACCCTCCAGATATGAGCAGGTGTTTTGCTGTGATGAAAAGAAATTCCTCAATGCAACTTTCTTTGTCTTTTTGTCACCAATGCAATTTTCAATTTTCCTAAAACTCCTTCATAATAGCCCCCATGATCTTTCTTTGTCCTCTGAGATTTTAAGCTTTTCCCTTTGGGATGCCCCTGAACAGTCTCCATAACCTTCTGAGCTGACCTGTCTGCCTTGAATTTAACTAGTCCAGCAAATCCCTTCATTTTTTTGTTGTTGTTGTCAGGTGCCATCAAGTCGGAACCAACTCATAGCGACCCCATGCACAGCAGAACGAAATAATGCCCGATCCTGGGCCAACCTCACTACCGCTGCCACACTTGAGTCCATCAATGATGCCACCTGGCCAATCCATCTTGTTAGGGGTCTTCCGCTTTTTCTCTGATCCTTCACCTTACCCAGCATGACATCCTTCTCCAGCAACTGTCCTCTCCGGACAATGTGTCCAAAGTATGAGAGACGAAGTTTAGCCATCTTGGCCTCCAAGGAGCACTCTGGTTGCACTTCTTCCAAAACAGATCTATTGGTTCTTTTGGCAGTCCATGGCACTTTCAGTATTCTCCTCCAACACCACAACTCAAAGGCATCAATTCTTCTGCGATCTTCCTTATTCACTGTCCAGCTTTCGCATCCATATGAAGTTATTGAAAATACCATGGCCTGGGTCAGGCTCACCTTAGTCCTCAAGCTGACATCTCTGCTCTTCAATACTTTAAAAAGTTCCTGTGCAGCAGATTTGCCCAATGCA